GTGTACAAAATTTGGAAGTGAATTTGTTCTGGGATGATTTGCCAGCAAATCACGGGGCAAGGCTAACCGCCAAACCATCGACCGGTCGCCAGTCAATCACGGGGCACCTAAAGACAAATTTGGAACCGGTCGCCGCTCAATCCCAAGCCCCGTAGACAAACAACGGCATCGGTTTGGAGTTAAAAAAAGAACAAAAACATTTTTGTGAAACTAGTTTTGGAGTATCAACCAAAAGCATGACTTTTCAATGTTTTTCCTTGTGCCTTTCCACCGCATTCACGTTTGTTTAGTCTTTCGAGAACACTTGTATTATATTACAAAGATGCCTTTTTATTCTCTTGTAAAATCCCCCCTCCTTGTTTGTGTGGTTTTACTTTAAACGAAGACGATATTTCAGCGGATATGAAATCACCGCCGGCCGACGGCGCCGTTAAAAACAAACCCAAAAAAGCAACAACGCTCGTTTACTATTCGGAAGTCATTTCATTTGGCAGAGTTTACGGCGCGGAGACAAGTCTAGTTAAATTTGATTGCGCCGCACTTTTTGAATAATTGATACTCAGACAGCTGGAGCCGAGATTACGACTGAAAATCGCGCTCCTTCAGAAATGTTGACATTTTTGATGGCTTATCCTGACGCAAGCTGTTGCAGTTGAGCGGAATGATGCTCATTTAGTCACCCATCATTTGCTGCTCATTTGTTTTGTTCTCGAATGAGTTCTTCGCACGCTTTTCGGCATGTCAATTAACTCAGGCAAGTTTGCGGCAAAAGATGACAACTTGCTGGGGGGGAAGGGGGGGTGACAGGAGCATTTTATGTGCAATGTGTGTTTGCCCCCCCCCATAAATATTCTCTCAAACGCCCACGATGTGATCACACAAACGAATTGTGGACACACAAAATCATGTTTGCATTTTTTTTTTTTGCCTCGCCTGGTGTCAAGGGGAATGTTCCCAAAGGCAGAAAGACAACACACACTCACACACACGTGCATTTATTGATAGAAAGATAAGAACCCACACACATACAGAGGAATATGAGCTCATGGGAGCATTTTTATGCTCGCTACCATTTCAACTGGCCAAAATGTATCCGCAAAGACAAAATGTATCCACTGTAAAGGTGGGATGTGCACACACACACACACACACACACACACGTAGTGAGAGTGGTTGTCAGTGAGTACAAATCATTGCGATTGCGAAGGCTTGGTCTCCGCGCAGCGTTTAGTATCACAAATAAGTAATAATTTGCTAATGGTAACATTATGTTGAGTCGGTTTCGGGGCAATTAAAGTGAGTGATATTTACATATGCCTAATGAATCACCGACGGCGGCAGTTGAGGCCCTCGTGAATATTCATGCAGGCATTTCTCTCTGCTCCTCGGCCCCCCTTCTTCCGCACCCCGCCGCCGTTTATAAACTGAATTATGGCCGATTTGCCCTTTTCAAAAGAGCAACATGGCCGCGCCGCCCGCAAGGAGGCGGCCCGACGATAACGTCTGATGATAAACATGTTTTAGTGGGCGCGAGACGGCCAAATCTGGGCCCGTTTACGGCCGGGCTTGTCACGAGCGTTAATAAAGTCGACCGGCGGCGGCGGCGCGTATCACCGCCGACGCAAATGGACGTTCCGTTCACCTGTCGGGAGTGCCGTCGACGGGCGCCATCGGCGTTGAAAGCATTTGTCACGCTCATGTAGATGGACAGCAGGTGCGCCGAGGAAAACCGCAGATCGTTTGCCGGTCAATGGCAGGTTACGCCAAGACTCCAAATAAAAGCCATGAAAAAGCAAAAGTGGAAATCAACTGCGGAGACAGCCCCAAAAGCTTCGCTGGGCTGCGCGCACGTGCGTCACTCACGTCAACGACCGCAGGCGAGTCAAGCTCGGTGATGCGGTCCTCTCGCCGCATCTTCCAGCAACGAGCTTCGGCGGGGGACTCGCACGGCCCAGCGCACCGCAAAAGTCAGTCACGGTCGCTTCCGAGGTGTCGTGATTCTGTTTGTGACCAACGGGTGGCGCTGTAGGGCTCCCCCTGCAGCTGCACACCTGTTGGTCGTTATGTCACGAGTTGTAGAACGGGACTCCCGCCCGACCGCTCATTGTTTGCTTCTGTCACGTTCCTTTCAGTCATGTTTCGGTCACCGCTATGTTTTAGCTTTAGTCATGGTTTTGTTTTCCAGACTTTGTGTGTTCTGGATTTGGTTTCCTTCGTATTTTAATACACTTCTTCAAGTACACCCAGCTCCTCCCTCCTGCCTGCTTTTTGGGGTCCTCCACCACCATGCGGCGTGACACGAGGCGGCAAATAAGCTCCACCCCCTGAAAAGGACCGTTCTCACCAAGGGATGACGAGGAAAGATGGCGGAAGCCATGCTAATGGCCTAAGCTAACCTAAGACTGAGATGTCATCGTGAAAGACCGAAGTTCGGCGCTCGGTTACACTTTTCGCCAAAGTCTGCCGGAACCGCGTTCAAGCGGAGGGAATACAACTTTGAAGAGCAAAACAGCAGGCAGTTTCCTAAGTGTCTTATTCACAACGAATGCTACTCGGGTAACGCCTAACGCAGGGGTGTCCAAAGTGGGCCCTCGCGGGCCGCTCTCCCGTCCTGCCTGTTTTCCAGCTCTCCCAGGAGCGACACACCTCATTCAAATCATCGGGATGGTTCTTATGCTGCTTCGGAGCTGGCTGATGAGCTGATCATCTGAATCGGGTGCGTTGCAGGCGGGAGAGCTGGAAAACGGGCAGGACGGCGGCCCTCCGGGCCCGGAGCTGGACATGTCTGGCCTAACGGGACCCAAAACACAAAGGAATTGCGATCGGCTGGCAACCAGTTTAGGGTGTCCCCCGCCTATTGCCCGAAGACAGCTCCGGTCCCCTTGTGACGATAACCGGATGAGAAAATGGATGGATGGATGGATGGATGGACGGATGGATGGATGGACGGATGGATGGATGGACGGCCATCCCAACTCTCAACCTGAGCGCTACGAGGGCAGGCGGACCTGCTCTCGCCGCAAAGCGACCGCGCCGCCTTTGGCGTGCTTGAAAGCTAGCGTGTATCTGCCGCCCCCTCGTGCTTGTTGCTGCTTTCGCATGTTTCGCCAAAAGAACTTCTCCAAAGGTTCTCTTTGACCTCAAGGGAAATACGTTATTTTCATCATCAAATGATCGCTTCTGTTTTTGTCATTTCTAATTTCATGTTCAAATTTTGCAAACAATTAGTCCTTAAAATCAAACAATCTTAAATGTACATCTGAAACCTTTATTTTATTTTTAGAATCAATCAACTAACCACGTTATACTACTACTACTACTACTACTACTACTACTACTACTACTACTAGTAATAACCATAACACTATAACAATAATAATAATAATAATAATAATGAGTGAAAATTTGAGTGTCTGAGAGTAATACCCTCATATGTGGGAAAGGAGAGTCACAGCAGCCAGTACTGTATATTTTTCATTTGAGCATCGATCAGGTGTGCAATTGTGAAAGTAAGAGAAAGAAAAGGAGCAAATGAAACAACACGAACAAGGACAATTGACAATCCACTCCCCTGCGCCATCTCATGCCTTCACGCTTGGACAGACCACCGGTGACAACTTTTGTTGAAAGATTTTCCAGCGTGTCTCAAACTAAAGACAACAGATGGCGCAAGGAGTTGGGGGAAAAAATGAAAGAGGACGACTGAGCTTTGAATGATGTTCGCAGAGACGAGAACAGCTGCAGCGTGTATGCGGTGACCGTGAAAAGACGTCGGTGTGGAAATAATGAACCACCAAAAAAAAAAAAAAAGTCAGGATGGATCACTGGAACCATGACGCAATCTTCTGATGAACATTGCACCGGTGGAATAAGAATTAAGCAGATGAAGCTGCATCTTTTCATTGATCTCGGGGTGCTGACATTTTGCCTTTTGCCGTCTCCTGAAATTGACGTCACACATTGCGAACGTCACTTTCATCCCGTACAGGGTCGACGCAAATGCGTCTCTTTCCAAGCGTTTGTTGCTTTCAAAGTGACAGAGGGATGATTGGGCTTGTCAGAAAAAAACGCTCCATCGCGGTTTTTCACTTATCACGGCAGGGTCCCGGTCAACATTAACCACGATAAGTGAGGGAACACTGTAGAAGCGGTTAACGCTTGTCCCTTGTGCACATTTTGAGCCTTTGTGGACAATATCTAACAAGTACGTGCCATTTTAAATCCCTGGCACAACAATGGTCGTGTTTTATTGCGTGACACTCGACCAAAACGCCGGTGAGTCAAGAAATCACGTCCCCGTTGTAGGCTTCAAATTCACAGTTGGTTTTGGAAACGTGCATCGGAGTGGGGGTGCTCTGGTGTGTGGGTAAAACCATCAAACAAAAAGAACAGTTACTACTTTCCTGACAGCCATTTCATTTTTTTTAAATGCAGCGACACTTACAGTAGATGGGCTTTTTTCTTTTAATGCAAATGACTTTTCATTCAAAGACCTTTCTCTGTATCATATTGAGAAGTTTCACCACTCAAGATGTGTAAATCCACCCTATCTCTCTTCTTATGTCATCATTGACATATGACAAACAAAGGTTATCTTATCTTATCTTATCTTATCTTATTCTGCAATAACTTCATTTTAACGCTTCCAATACTTCATCAATCAAACAGTACTTGAATTTTATTATGGTTTTCAAAAACGAGAAAGCAGTTAAGACTCTGGCCTTATGCTCTTTAGTTAGAATTTTGGTTCTCTTTACACTGTACATGTAATCATGACTTGTTCGTTTAATTTTCTGTGATTTGTAATTTAACTTGTTCAATAAAGATTGTTCTTAAAAAAATGCTTCCAATAATTGTTCCTTGACCATGACAAATAAAAATGCCACATTGAAACAACGGAATTTTTAGTTGGCGCTAAAGACCCGACGTATGAGTGTTTTGCCGTTGTTGAGAGGAAGAAGAAGAAGAAGAAGAAGAAGAAGAAGAAGAAGAAGAAGAAGAAGAAGAAGAAGAAGAAGAAGAAGAAGAAGAAGAAGAAGAAGCGGCAGCGGCAGCAGGCAACACACCGACTACTTGGTCGAACACGTCTCATTTTTCGTCACACTGGTTCTTTCTCATACTTTGCATTTGAAGTGTATAAGGCAGCTGGAAAAAAAGAAGATTAACCAGCAACATTTCTCCCACCGAGGTCGAGTTCCGGGCGTGATGTTTGACGTCCTCGTGACGTTCCTCAACTCGTTCGGCTCCTAGCTTAGCTCACTAGCACAAGACAGCGACGCGATGGGTCGAGGACGAAAGCCCGACCGAGACGGACAGCCACTTCCGGGTTGTTGGCCGCCGCCACACGGAGAATGGGGCCCTCCTCCTCCTCCTCCAGGAGGAGAATGGGGCCCTCCTCCTCCAGGAGGAGGGTGGGGTCCTCCTCCGGGAGGATGGGGCCCGCCGCCGCCGCCGCCCGGGGGATGGGGCTGGGGCCCTCCTGCCGGAGGATGGAGCCCACCGCCGCCGGGGGGCTGGGGGCCCCCTCCTCCCGGAGGCTGGGGCCCTCCCCCTCCCGAGGGCTGGGGCCCACCACCACCCGGAGGCTGGGACCCCGGCCGACCCCCGTCACCGGGCTATGGGCCTCATCCCGAATGGATGCCTCCCCCGCACTGGGACCCCGACATGCCTCCTCCTCCTCCTACTGGCTGGGAATATCCCGGCTGGGGCCCGTGCGGTCCGGCGCCCCCTCCCTGCCTTCCTCCACCTCCAGATGCGGGTGCAGCGGTCCCCCCTCCGGGTTGCGCGCCCCCCTTTGGCTTCCCGGGATACCCGCCCCCAGACTTGGTGAGACGCACTCTTTAACACGTTTTCCTCTGTCTCGAAAACGCCGCAAGAAGTTGATCCGGAAGACGGATCTCTAATTCGGGGCGGCAAAATGCCACAGGACCACACGTGCGGTCTTGCTGCGCGCAGAAACTGCAAAAGAGAAGCTTTTGTGTTCTCTGATGCCCTTGAGCAAAGCGTTCCACCCCACGGGTCACTCTGAATCTGTCCTGGCGTGCCTGTGAGACGGCTGTCCCACATTGGATGCCTGAGTTCAAGTGAAACTTCCCATTGAGGCGAATGAAAGTTTGTCATCGTTGAACTGAAGAAGTCGTCAGGAAGTGAAATGCCGTTGCTGCTTAGTGCGCGTCAATGCTGTTCAAGCTGCCGTTTTGTCACCATTTCAGACACCCGCGCAGGAAGCGACGACCGACCCGTCGCCGGAGCAGCCCGAGTGGGTGAGTGGGCGGGCCGCTCCGACTTAGTCGTCGGTCGTTGGTGGCGTTGACGTCTTCCGATTTCATCTGTCAGATCAAAGCGTTGATTTCGACCACGGACAGCGCCCCGGCGGAAAGTAAGCCGGAGGCCGTCGAGCCGGCGGCCGTCCCTAAAACCGCGGCGGCGGCGGCGGCGGACCTTGCCCCCGCGGCAGAAGTCGGCGGGTTGGCCAAGGTCTTCGGACTGCTGGGAAAGCGATCGTTTGACAAGTAGGCCTACACCGCCCTCGTCTAATCACCGCTGACCTGCGATGGGTCGCTTGATGCCTCACGTGATTGGTCGTGTGCCGTCTTGTCGTCAGGCCGCCGGCGGGCAGATCAACGGGCATCATCTCCTTCATCGGGGTACGTTCCGCTCGACTTGTCGTGACCGGGCGTGGGCCCGTATCACGTTTTGGCCCCGTGTTAACCGTGAGCACAAATAGGGCCGTTCCACCGAGGAAGTCGCAAAGCACAATCGTCTTTATCGGCCTGGTACGGCGGAAGTCGGGTCGGGAATTTCCACCGGTCGAAAGATGGCATTTTGCTGCATCGGAACGAACCGCGAACGTCCTATTGTGAAGACGTTTCTGACCCGACACACTCGTGACCTTGCTTCCTTCAACATTCGGGCTATCGGCGCAGGTTGGTTGGGGAGGGCGGTCACGCAGCTGTCCGTCATGTCGCCAGAGGCGTGATGTGCATGTGATGTGCCCCTTTCGGAATGATGGGCAGAGTGCGAACTTGAAGGAGCGAAATTGTTCAATGTTTGCCAATCGGCTACCGGCAAACGTAGGACGAGTTGAAATGCTACGTATATACATTCCAGTATTTCCCCTTTTGTTCAAGTCGCTTCTTAAATACCGTACAGCACGTTGCGATTGCGTGCGCCGCGTCCAGTCCCTGCTCATACGTCGGAGGCCCCGTCGAAAGGCGACATCGTGAAACTCCAAATAGGCGTCGAGGCGTCAGGTTTGTCGGCTCAAAAGCGGGCTGGACTCCCGCAGCCGTTTGGCAAAGGGAAGGGCGCACGTGTTGAACATGGAATGCTTCTCATGAAGTTGCCCGCGTATGAGACGCTTTGCGCGCTCTTTGCCTCTCCAGCCCACGTTCGGCCACATCCAGCGGGAAGATATGGAAAAGTTCACCTTTGACTTCGGGGTCTTCTTCGGGAACCCCAAAGCCATGAAGCCCGGCGTGCGAGTGCACTTCACCGCCTGCGTCTTGAAGGTGTGACCTCGCGCTAACCCTCGCCACGTTTGGCGATCGGAAGACGCCGGCCGCGGCCTGACGGAGCGTGTCGCGCGCCGACAGAATGCCCAGATCGCGACGGACGTGAAGGTGGCGCCGGGCGGCACGGAGAACGTGGAGCCGGACATCTACGAAGGCGTGGTCAGCCAGCCCATCGTGGAGGCCCAGGTGAGCTTTGTCCGGCGCGGGCGAGGGCGGCCGACGAACTCCCTCCCGTCTTCCCGCAGGCCGGCGAGCGGCAGTTGCCCGGTCAGGTGCACGTGGACATCGTGCCGGTGAGGACCAACCTGCCGTTCGACAGCAAGGACAGCGCCGTCACCCTGCTCAAGAACGACCGAGTTCTCGTCAACCTGCTGAGGGACATCGTCACCGACAAGAGGCGCGCCACCAACATCCGCCCCAAGCTCCCCGAAACCTTCCAGTTTACCAAGGAGACCCGTGAGACGGTGAGGGCGCCCGTCGGACTCGGACGCGTCGGACGGCTCTGCCTCCGAGCGGCGGCCGCGCGTTCGACCCCGCGCTCGGCGTCGAGGCGCTCGGACGCGTCCGCGTCGGAATCGGATCCCTCGGCGGCGGCCTCCGGCGACGTCTCCCCCCGCTCACGGTTCCCCGTCGCCCCCCGTCCACAGGGCACCATCGTCAGCTTGGGCGACGGCGGAGGCGTCATCAGGTCGGACGCGCGCGGCGAGCTTCCCTTCGACGTCAAAGAGAACTTGAGCGACGTGGACTTCACCCCCGAGGACGTCAACGAAGAAGTGGAGTTCACCCTCCACAAGGTGAGAGCTGGGCCGGCTCGGCCGCCGGCGCCCAGAACCGACCGACCGACCGACGTGCGTCCTCCCATCAGGTGCGAGCGGGCGAACGGGCCGTTCGCATCCGACGGGTGAAGGAGTCTCTCCTGCTCACCCTCTGCAGCCCCGTCTCAAAGGTCCTGCCCGCGCCGGCGGCGAAGGTCCGGGCGCCGCCGGCCAACGCGTGGCTGGACCCCGAGCTGTACGAGGGCGTGGTCAGCCAGCCCATCGCCGAGGCCGCGGTGAGCGCCGACGCCTCGGGTTACGCCGCGTCCCGGGCGCGCCGGCCTCTGATTCGGTTTGGCCCGCAGGACGATAAGCCGGCCTACCCGGGGCAGATCTTCGCCAACATCGGACCGCTCCACACCAACGTGACCTTTGATCGCGGGGACTGCGGAGTCACGCTGCTGAAGGACGACCGCGTGCTCCTCAGCCTGCTGGTGGACACCGAGACCCGGAAGAAGCGCGCCGCCAACATTCGACCCAAGATCCCCTTCACCTTCGTCCATACTAACGAGAAGCGAAAACTGGTAGGAGGGCCTGCCGACGCCGCGCCTGCCGTCGCGCTTCCGCCGTTACGCGGTTGTTTTTTGGAATGGCGACAGAACGCGCTTCTTTTCTTTCCCTTTTCCGGCTGTAAATATTCTTGACCTGATGAGGCGCAAATCACAAACCGTATAGAGACACGTTACAACGTGGATGATCATTTTGAAAAACCGCAAAGAGGAAAATATGAACCGTGCCATGTCCATGTCGAAAGGAAAAGTGTCCACGTTACTAAAGGTTATGGAATGCATTTTGCTGAAATTAAACGTGGGGCTCCGAAGTCAAAATCCATCCGCTTGATCGAGGAAAACGAGCAGTACGTCCAAATGCGTTTCGGTTCAAGCGCTTGTATTCAAGCCAACTTGGAATTGCCGGCGGCAGCTTTGTGTCAGCCACCGCGCGCAAGACGTCCTTGCATCCTTCTTGGCCTGCCAGGAGCGCGCTCGCGACGTAAAACCGCTGCCGTTTCTTTCGTTCTTGTTCTTTTGAATGGCGCGCGCACGTTGAGATGCTCAAGCCGGTGTTTCCTGACGCGTTTTTCCTCCCGACGCGCGCCCGAAGCTTTTTGCTCTCGCACCGATTGCACTTTGGAGCCGTTCCAAAAGTCTCCTCGACGTGGTCCGCGTGAGCCCGCTTACGCCGCGCCGTCACGAGCGACTTCAGAGCGCAATCCCCGTTGTGTGACGTCGGCTCGGGGCCGCGCGGCCTTCCAGGGCGTCATCAGGAGCCTGACGGAGTCCGAGGGCATCCTGGCCTCCGAGGAGCACGGGGATCTGCCCTTCCGCCTCTGCGAGAACTTCAGCGACACGGAGTTTGACGCCCAAGACGTCAACAAGGAGGTGGAATTCACCCTGTCCCAGGTGAGCGCCCGCCGCCCGCCTCAACTCCACTTGTATTTCTAGCGCACTCGAAAACAACCGCCGGCGTACGCGATGCGCCGCACACGCAGCAAATACAATCCGCGCGACAACAAACAAAACAAAGCCCGTAGAAAGCCCAAAAACGGCGGCACTCAAAATCAGCTCTCCTGCCTGAGGCAAAAGCCAAAGAATTAAACGTTGTTTTTAAAGCCGGGCAGCGAGGGCGCTCGTTCCAAAGAGAGGGACCGGCGACGGAAAAGGCTCCGCCCCCTCCGAGTCTCGGCTTAGTCCTCGGTGCCTCTCATCGCGTCTGCGGCGGGCGCTTCCGGAAAGGTTGCGAGCCGACCTCCGCGGCTTTGTGCCCTCAAAGGTGGCGGACGAGAAGAGAGCGATCAGACTTCGTCGGACCAAGATGGTGGCGGACCGAATTCTGATGGAGAAGAAGAGACGGGAAGAGCAGCGGGAGGAGGACGTGAAGAAGAAGAAGAGGGAGGAGGAGGAGGAGCAAAAAACTAAGAAGCGCAAGGAGGCGGCGTCTGCGGCGCTTGCCGCCGCCAAGGACAAGGTGAGTTTTGGAAATGGCCCTCGTGCGAGTCTCCCGGCTTGCGCTTCTTGACTTGGCGTCCGCGCGCTTCCCACAGTGGACTCCGCTGGGCTTCAGCGTGCCCGTTCCCGACAGCCAGCTGGAAATCAGCAAGGAACGCTTTGACGGCACCATCCTGAAAGCAGCCGGAAGACGGCGCGGCAAAAAGGAGCCCCCGGACGAACAGGCGCGAACACTCTTCACCGTGGCGGCCGGGATGCGCTCGCGCGCCATGCCGATGACGGCGCCTGTTGTCTTGCAGGTGAAAATCGAGGCGGAGGAATTGAAGATCAAGCAGGAAGAGCAGGCATGTGCTCTTCTCCTCATCACACTGAACGTTGCCAAAGTCGTAGCGCGCTCGCTCCAGCGCACAAGCAGTCATTTAGCCGCCGCCTATTGGAAAGTTTGAAGCCGGGCTAAATGCTTTCAAGCACCCGCATTTTGCCCATGTCGCTTAGACCTGCTAAAAAAAAACAAAAAACAAAACTTGGGGGTGGGGTGCACCTGCCCCGCAGAAGCTTTCTGCTCTCCAGCTAGTGCTGCACCTCCACACAACAAGTCCCTGACGCCAGGATGCCTCTTGAGGTTTTCTTCAAGTGCAATGTGTGAAACCGTAACCAGACAGACTCTCCAAGCGACTGAAAAGTCCAACATCGACTCTGCACACACAACAATGGCGGAGGAGTCTGCAGTGGAAATGGTTGACTTGTAAATTGTCCAACGTTTCAAACGGTCACTTGGCAAGCGTCAAAGTTGCACGCATGCCGACTTGAGGGACAGTCACTCGTCTGTTTGTTAGAAACAAGCCAAAGCGCGTATCCGCAAACAAATATTCATTTCTCTTATTGTTTGGTATCAAAGCAGACAGGGAAGGCGGTAGAAGTCAAAAGCAACATTTGTTTGGAATGTTCCCGTCACTTCCTTTTTCTGGCGTTTGCTCTTTGTTGGCCAACGGGGAAAAATTGGAAAGGAGATTTTTGCGGGGGCGAAACGGGAGCTTGACTTTTGTGGCCGTCTTGGCCAGCCCCGACGCTCGTTATTGTCACGGCCGATGCTCACCCACCGACCCAAAGGTGACGGGCGGCGACATGTTGTCTCGTAGGCGACGACGACGGAGGAGGACGTGAAGGTCAAGGAGGAGGAAGCGGACGCCAAGCAGGAAGCGGACGGCGAGGGAAAGACGGACGAGATTCAAGGCGGCGCCGGCAGCCCCGAGGAGGCGGGGCTTCTGGTGATGA